CAGCAGGAGAGACTGAAAAGTCCTCACTTGCAGGTAACTGCAGCCTGATGGCTAGAGATCTTCACTAGACAGTGACCTGGATTCAAATCCCTATTCCACATTGGACAAAGAAAGGACTTGGGTCTCCCACATTCCAGGTGAGTGCTTCGGTCACTGAACTACTGGATAAAAGAGAAAAGCCACTAACATTTTCCCCTCCTCTGTTTGTGGCATGCTTTAGAAATGCTACTGACAGGGCTTGAGTGCCTAAATGGAGGAAAGGGGTTGTGGCTATAAATCCTGAGTGGAGATCTGACTAGGACAAGCCTAAGCTAAGCACCTAACTTGTTAAAAGGGGGAAACTCTAGCCCAGTCCCTATCTGCAGCTAGCTTAGGGAGCTCCCCGCACAGCCTGCTGTCCTGTGGATCCCATTCTTGGGTTTGCCGTGTGCAAATCTGGGTGCCTCACTTGGTGGTAAATTCTACTAAGCATGTTAACAGTGAGCCTCTTCCTGTTTCTGGGGAATCTAGCATTCTTTGACAAACTTTAGTAAGCATGGTAGATCTGTCTGGCCTGCTCTCTTGGAGCATAGAGAAAAGAATTGGAGTCAGCCCCCGGGATGAGCATGAGCCTACTTTTGGTTCTGGAGGAAACAGCCAGTGTCAATTGATGTGACTCTCTGGATGACTTGTACTTTGTATGGTTGTAAGCATGGGTGTTGCTAGGATTTTGAACACGGGCGGGGTACAGATAGTGAGGTGCATCCTCGCATATAACACAACATGCATTTTTCTCCAGTTGAAAATAAACTAGAAGCTTTACTAACAGGCCAGGGACCTAGGGGTGTATTCAGTTTAAGATTGAAGCAAAAAGAAATATAACTTCATTGGAATCAATTAAAAACAGCCTGCAGGGCTGTGAAATAGGAGCTTCAATACCAGGAGCACCTAACCAACAGCAGACTTGTAGAACAAATGGCAGCTTGATTGGTGGAACATGAGCACCATTAGAGGAGAGGGTTGTTAATCCCTATGGAGTGAAGCGTTTAGAAAGGATCAGGTAGATTTTAATGGGCCATAAAGTCGAGCGACTCCCTCAGCCCTGCCTGAGTAGAAATGCTGCTGCTGCTAGGCAGTTGGTTTTCAACTTTGGGTGGGTAAGAATCCTAGGGGAGTGCAAGTGCACCAGTGAACCCCCCCCCTTGATCTGCCCCCGGTTTTAAGTCACTAGGGGATGGAAGGCAGTGAAAAAATTGGGCTTGTTAGGCTGGATGTCTGTAGAGAGTCATCCAGATTCACTCCAGTGAAAAATGCCAGTGGATTTGGGTCCTAAGGCATATTGGGTCAGACTATGCTGTCTGAGATCAGTAACCTTGAGGCTGATTTGGGACCTGAGTCTCTTCTGCCTTTCTACTTTGTGACTCATCTATGCTTGTTCAAAGTTAGCACTGACCCAAGAGACTAAGTTACCTTCATTCTGCATGGGACTGTGTGGCTAGAGCAGGTGTAAAACAGTGAAGAATCAAGCCTGCTGCTTTCCAGGGAGTTTCTCTAGATTTATATCTAATATAAACACCAGCAAAATGTGGCTTTACCAGGGGTGCCTATACATGTGCAGCAAGGCTGCTCTGACATGTCGTAATTACAATGCGTTGGAGCAGACTTGATTAATCGAGTCTGCTGGAACATGGCAATTACTGCGCTCCAGCATCACATGCATCAGTGTCCCCATGCTGAAAAATGGCAGTGGGGGCACTTTAACTAAAGTATGGTGCACTGATAAAGATTTTTATGGCCAATTTATTAACCAGCCATATCGGCCAGTAACAATCCGATTGCCAATATGCAGCCCAGTAGCTTGGAGAGCAGCATCTGGCTGGTGAGTCTGGGGGGGAGAAGGGGCATGGGGGGAACAGATGGAGGCCCCCATGGTGACGGAGGGAGTGGGGCTGTGAGGCAGAGGCAGGCGCTGCCCAGGCAGGGTGTGGGACAGAGCTACGGGCAGCTCATCTCAGGGGTGAAGGGCAGCTCCCACCACTGTGTGTACCCCAGAGAAAGCACGGGGGGCATATGCACAAATCATGGGGCAAGGGTGGGCTGTGTGCTTAGAGCCAGGGGCTGTTCCAGTGAGTGACGGCAGTGCTGGGAGGGGGCTACAGGGTGGACTACAGCCACCCCAAAATTCGCTGTAACCACCCTGTAGCACCCCCCCCCCCTCCATGCTGCCACTCACTCTGCCCCGAGTGCAGCCCCAGCCCAGCCCCCACACCGGGAAGAGGCTGGCGCAGCTCTCCTCTTCTTCCCCAGCCCCAACATCCCCTGGATGAGCTGACCATGGTTCTGTCCCAGCCCTACTCCCTCCCTCACTGTGGGGGCCTTGATCTGCTCCCTGCCCCTTTCCCCACACAGACTTACTGGCCAGATGCTGGTCTCTAAGCTGACAGGCTGTGTTACTGGCCATGTGACAGGATGCAAGCCAGGCTGCATGCATGCATGCAACATTTATCAGTGACATTATTGGCCACTTCGGCCAAAAAAAGCTGATTGCTGATAACGTCAATTTTCTTTTGATCAGTGCTGATACAATATGGACTGATGTATTGGTGCATCTCTAAACTAATGCTTGTTCAATGAGCTTTAAAGTGCCCCCATTGCCATTTTTCTGCAAGGGGATGCTGCTGCACATGAAGTTCCAGGTACTTTAATTAGTAATTAAAATGCCCCCCTCGCCCCCACCCACACACATTCCCAGACCATGTGTATAAATGCCCCAGGAGTCTGTAGGACAAACCCTTTTATAGTCTGAATAATTAAGTATCATCTATAATAACAGAGCTTTCAAAACATTGTTATTTGGATCACGTCAGCCTGAAATTAAGGGTAAATGATTAGTCTAAAGAGTGATGATTTTTTATTTATTTATTTATTTATTTTTTTTAAGGGGGTGACATAAATGACAGCACCCAGTGACCTCTGTGACTGTGGCTATAATAGGCGAGGCTGGCAAAGTATTGGAACATATTAAAAGGCCAGAACTTTAGTCATACAGGTCCTAAAGATTAATGAAGATATCTCGGTCAGCATGTCTCAGCTTTATTACTAGTTACCTGAACAGAGCAAGCAGACAAAAGAAGTGTTCCCCTACCCCCCCAGTTTTGGCAGCTGTTCCCCAAATCAGCCTGATCTATTATTTTACCTTTCTTGCCGTATCTTGTGAATTCAGCTATAAATAATACTTGTGGGGTGGGAAACACACTGGGGCGTGACAGGAAGTATTCCAAATGTTATCAATAAAGTCAGCAGAAGGCTCTGGGAAAATCAGAATGAGGAATAAATAAGTTTAAATTCTCCTAATCTCTTGGCTCTGGCGTTTCATTATACAATATGTAAAAGAAGCAGCTCATAGGAAATTGCTAATTTAGAATAGTTATGGATCAACGGACTTCAGTCATCTTTGGGCAATGTGAAAGTTTCACTTCTTGTTGGAGGTTACAACAGGTTAACCCTGCATAGCGGGAGAGATTGTTAGATTTCTCAGGGGCAATATGAAGTGTTTTCACACATGGAATGACGCAATTGAAATGTACATTTATAAAAACTCACCATTCAACGGATGTAATTTGTAAAGACAAATGAAGCCAGCTAACTTAAGTTTCAATGGATACTTCCAAGCAGAAAATATATTGTGCCTGGTATAAATGGGTCCACAGATGTAACATCAGATTATCTTGTGATAATAGTAAATGATAACATGCTCATAAGGCTTAGCAGGGTACCTTATTAGAATTCAGAAAAGAGCCTTATTCCTAGAGTGTGCCTGTCTGTTACTCCCTTTGCTTAAAACCCAACCCTTTCCCATTCTGCTGAATTCATAAAGTTCAAAAAATACAACTCTGGAAAACTTCCAGCATTCCTTATGTGTCACAGACAAATAACTTCTAATCCTTGCCATCACACCATTGGAGTTTAGGTCTTATGTTCTTCACCCAAACTAGTTCCAAGATGTCACACTTCTTTTCATGTGAATTGTATTTATGTCTTAACACGAATCTTACTTTTAAAATTTTATTTTACTTCAGAAAAGTTGAAGAATTCAGATATTGGAGTTACAAACATCCATCAGATGTTAAAGGTTCACTGCCCAAATATAAGTTTCTCATCTCTTTTGGCATTTTGACTCTGATTAGTTTTGATCATTGAAAAAAAAATCAGTACTTAGCTAGCTTGTTGATTTTAGTGTAATTATCATCATATTTGAAAATGTACATAAACAGTTTGGTTTGGTATTTTAGCCAACATTTAAATGTGGTGGGACAGTAAAGTATATTTGGGCATAGGGTGGGGAGTCTTATTCAGTAGTCCAAGGCTGCCTCTGTAGAGTTTTTTTGCATTTCCTTTTAGTTCTCTCTTCTCCCCCTCCTCCTCCTCCTCCTCCTCCTTTCTCTTTCCTTCTTCCAACAGAATGTGTGCGTGGGTTGAATCTTTTTCCACAGATACAAATTCCAGCCATGAAAGAGAAAATCTAGCATCGTCCCTGAGCATACTGCAACTTTGACTTGAGCTGGATTCTTCAATGACTTTTTAAGTCATTAAGCTCTCTCCAACTAAATGTTCAAGCAGAACTAGACTGGAAACCTCAAAGCAACTGTTTCGGACTGAATAGTAAAGGATGGCAGTGACATGCAAGGGGGACTGTGCTTAAGCAGCTCATGTAGATACAAGCAGTCTCAAGCCATGGACAGAGATGCTGTTTGAAGTGCTCCTAAGGGAACAGACATGCACGCTTGAAAAATGGCATTCTTGAAATGACTGTACACTCCAGTGGTCCTCTGGCATCCTACAGTCCTGTTTCCCCCAAGGGAAGCAGTGAGAGGAAGCAGGGAAATCAGCCAGTGAGCACATGCCTGCACTCTGCTGTTGGTGGGACCTCTGGAGGCTGAGAAGTGTGCAGAGCTTCCCGGTCTCCACCCACTGCTGGATTTGAAGTGCTTGACATACATGACTGTCCAAGGGTTGGCCACAGCAGCATGCAGCTCAGTGCAAGCCAGGGTCTTGGGAAGGCTTTGTAACCTGCACTGAGCACACATTGCCATGACTACTCTATCATTAGTATCTGAGCTTGCCAGTTGAGCTAGCTGTTCACGAGCTGCTGTCACGGGGAACTTTTTTTTTTGACCACAGTCTTTAACTGCAGTCCTGACAGACCCTTGATTGGTCATCTTACAGCCTGCAAAGCTCCAAAGTGAAAGTAAAAAGGGATATTGCTCTTAAATATCAACAGTTTCAGCATGTGCTCAGTGTAGTAGCATGACTGAAAAGGAGGCAACTGGGGCAGAAGCCCTGGGCACCAACTCTCGAGGGAGACAGGATGGTAGAAAACTATTTTATCACTAGTTGACCAGCTCTGCCCATTATGCCTCTGTAACAACTGCCATACGTTGTGGTTCATACCACTTATGTGAAGCTGTGTGCGCGTGTGCATTCTCCATCGTACAATCATGTTGCATAGCTAGGCTAGCAAATACTAAATGTGTACTTTGGGACTTTATGGGCACATCCACGTGAGTGCGCATGTGCCTCTTGCCCCACCTCAAACCCCTTTGAGGCAGGGCAACAGTCACATGAGGGAATGAAAAAACGTTCCCTGTGCTGCAAGTTTGCAGTGCGGGGAGAAAATCAGACCCCTGGATATCCAGGGGTCTAAAAAAATTGAAGCTTAAAGTGGCGCAGGGCAAGGTCCGGGACCTCTATGGAGGCTGGGTCCTCCATAGAGACACTCTGGCTGCCAGAGCATCTCCATGGTTGCTCCTCGCCCTGGTGCTGAAACATGCAGCTGGCGAGGCCATGTGTTCGGCGCCAGGGCTCCGGTGCCGGCGAGTAAGGGGTCGGGGAGGGGGGGACCCCCAAAGGCTCTATCCACTCCCCCTGCTGCAGAATCCCTCCATATCCCCTCACACCCATCCATACAGCCCACACCCATACAGCCCTCACCCCGCTCCTGCAAACCTCACATCCCCCCATCACACACCCAGCATGCCCAGCTGCCAGACAGGATGAAACCTGCTGGAAGGAGCTGTGGCTGCAGGGGCAGCTGTCCCCACATCCTCGTTAGTGAAGGAGTCAGGGGGAGCTCTAATTTCCCATGATAAGAAAACCAAAAGCAAAATCAAAGCATATAGATATTTAGAGTTTATTTTATTATGATGATAGCGACACTGATAGGCTTCCAAACTGCTTTTAAATTGTAAATATATCAATAAAACATTGTCCAACTGATATCTCTCTCTCTCATTCATATATATATACATATATATATATATGTTCTTCCACAATTAAAAAAAAAAGACCATTCTATATATATATATATATATATATATAAAAGTGGTCTTTTTTTTTAATTGTAGAAGAACATGGATTTTGGGGTATTTTAAGAAGTGAATTTGGGATTTTTTTAATCAGAGAATTTTCAGTGTTTTAATAGGGATCACCAGAATTCCTGCTAGTAAGGCAAGTAGCAGTATGCAGGCAGAGGAGCCTGCTCAGGGCAAATGAGGTGGCTCACTTCCTAGCCATTTGGGGTGAGGAGGACATGATTTGACAATTCAAACCAGGGCACCACACTGAGAACATCTAAGTCATAGCTGCCCAGATGGCAGGACGGGGGCGCAGATGGCAGCAGTGCTGCACAAAAACCAACTATGCAGCCATGGCCCACTGGCAGCTGGACCAGAGGCATAGGTGTCTCTGCTACAGTGCCCATGCCACAGCCCAGGAGGCTGTGCAGTCCCCATCCAGGTCTGGCAGGTGTGCAGCCTTAGGATTACATGTCTGGCAGGTGCACAGCAGGTCATAGCCAGGCACCAGCCCCCACTGCCAGACTGCTGCAGTGGGTAAAGGGGGCAGGGAGCTCTCTCAGGGTTGCTTCAGCAGTCCAGCTGGCACAAGGGGTAGTGTCCCCACGTATCAACTGGCTGGGCCCCAGAAGCTCCTAAGAGCTAGTAGCCCTGAGCTACTTGCCAGAGCAGCTTTTTATACTGCTGGGGACAGCACAGGTGCTGGCCCCAGCCTCTAGCTCCCCCTGGCTGAAGATCCAGGAGCCAGGCAGGGTTATTTTGCCTCAAGTGGTACAATTTGCTCCACAACAGTGTGCGTGTCTGAGCACATGCGCTGAAGCAAAAAGCCCCGGCTCAAATTTGCACTGCTTCTAATTGAGTTGCTGAAAGTGCTTGCATGTGTGGATGCACCCTACTGGACTGACTCACTTGTGAAATCATTGGTGAAAAATGTCACATGTGGGCATAAGAAGCAGCTCGCTGGAGTATAATAGAAACAACTGGAAACTTCAGCAACAATTTCCTGCTAGTGAAATCCATTGAACTGTGTTTATAGGGTTTGACAGTTGTGCAGTATAGGAGAGCAGGAAAATATTTGGGTGACTCAAAAACGTTTGACAAAATGAGCTCTAGCATTAGCCAGAAATAAGAGCAAAAGTTGAGAGAGATTTTTTTTTATTTTTTATGTTATTTTATTAATAATTTATTTGACCAAAAGGCAGTATCAATTGGAACTCAGGCTACTTGTGGCTTAGCTTAGTAAATGGCTCTGACTGGAAAGATAAAGATAATTTGAAGCCTCAAATTTTTGTTTCAAATTCATGTTTTCAAAAATTACCAAAGCATAACTTGCAAAAAGAGTTAAAACAAGCAAACAAAGCAATTTAGAAATGAAATGTATTTCTTCTCAGCCAAAATCCTTTCTTCAGCCTAACTCAAGCAACTCTTGGTTGGTTTGTTTTTTGTCAAGAATGTTAAGCTTTCAGAGAAGCCAAAAGCATCTTGTTTTGGTGTCTTTGTTTTGATCTTTCAGTTCACTGGCCAAATTGAAAAATTAATTATTTGTGCAGCCCTAAACAAAACCAAGTGGCAGAAAAGCAGATTGCAAAATAAATGAACACACACATCTTTAATTTTTGATACCCAAATCTCTTTATACCAGTGGTTTGCAACTTTTTTTTTTTTTTTTTAGACTCAAGGTGTCCCTCAGAAAATCCCAGCTCTTAGCTTTCACTCATTTCTTCACTATGAAAAAGTAATAAAGCACTTGTTCTGTTGCAAAGGACTCGGGGGGGGAGAGAAACGCAGCGGGAATGTTTTTGACACTGGATTCCTATTGGAAATCTCTGGATTTATCTTGTGAGCGTTTGCATACACAACAATGCTAATATTTGAGTGACATCCTAGCTGAGAAACACTGCTTTATATGTTGCCACTTGCACGTGTCTAAACCAAGAAAATTTTCATAAGTGGCTTGACAATTCTACCACTACAAATGTCTACAGTCGATGCCCTAGTTACCGACTTTTTGATGTAGCACGTTTGCCCAAATGTAACCAAATGAGTGGGAAAGCAAAAATGTGTTTCTTTCTATGTGGTACAGCCCTAATGGGAGGTGATGTGATGTGCTACTAACAGAACAAAAGAAAGTTGTCTGGTGTAATGATGAAAAGCCAATGGCACTTTATCGTACATCAGCAGATGCATGACGAATAGATCCAAGGAGGTGATCCTTCCCCTCTATCGGGCGCTGGTCAGACCGCAGTTGGAGTACTGCGTGCAATTCTGGGCGCCGCACTTCAAGAGGGATGCGGATAACCTGGAGAGGGTCCAGAGAAGGGCCACTCATATGGTTAAGGGCCTGCAGACCAAGCCCTATGAGGAAAGACTATTGAAACTGGACCTTTTCAGCCTCCGCAAGAGAAGCTTGAGAGGTGACCTTGTGGCTGCCTATAAGTTCATCACGGGGGCACAGAAGGGAATTGGTGAGTATTTATTCACTAAGGTGCCCCTGGGGGTTACAAGAAATAATGGCCACAAGCTAGCAGAGAGCAGATTTAGACTGGACATTAGGAAGAACTTCTTCCCAGTTCGAGTGCCCAAGGTCTGGAACGGGCTCCCAAGGGAGGTGGTGCTCTCCCCTACCCTGGGGGTCTTCAAGAGGAGGTTGGATATGCATCTAGCTGGGGTCATCTGAACCAGCCCTCTTTCCTGCCTATGCAGGGGGTCGGACTCGATGATCTATTGAGGTCCCTTCCGACCCTAACATCTATGAATCTATGATGGTGCAAGGCTTTGCCTTGTGACCTGAGAAAGGATCCTCATTTCTTACTTCTCCATTTCTATTTGCAGACCCTACTTAGGGCTTGTCCTAAGAGATCCTGGCCAAGTCTCTGAATCCTTATTTTACCTTCTCATCCTACTGTTACAGAAAAGGTAGCAGGGAAGAGCAGCACCACTGTACTGGGAAAAAGAGCACTTGCTTTTTGAATTTAGTTGGTTCCTCTTTGGAAACCCAAGAGAAGAATCTGAGACAATATGCTGTCAACCTAGAACAAGAGGATTTGCAGCCTTGGATACTCTTGCAAGGCAACAGTTCATTAGCTAATTGCCTCTGCTAGACAATGCCTTTTACACTGCTCGCAAAATCACCTTTAACCTACTCTGACCAGACTGTCATTAAACCCTGGAACTCATATTTTCCTGAAATGCTACCCGTTATTGTGAATTTGGAGAGGGGGTGTGTTTGTCTCTCGCATGACAACTGAGTACAAGAATGACTCTCTGGGAGAGAGAGTGTGAAAGATCACAAAGAGTTGAGAGCCAGGAGTTTGCAGGGGCCTGGCTTATATTTGCCTGGGCTCTCCTGTAAATTATTTCTAATCTGTTATCACTCTTGGGATAGGTGTATCAGTTGCAGGACTAAACTTTTGTTGTAAGAAACCCTCCAATAAAGGAAATGACTTTTTTATTTTATACCTGAGTGATCCAAGTTCAGCTCCTTTAGGACAGGCTGTAGGACACACAATTGGCAACTCTATTCCAGACTGTTCACTGAAGCACAATATCCCATGACTATTAAATTGGCAGAATACAAATGATCTTGCTCATTTGTCACCATTTATGGTATTTTTAAGTGGGGCCACATTCAAATTTGTGTACTTAAATCTCTTTAAACTAACCCATGTTGCACTCATTTAGACTATGTAGTCACCTGTACAGTTTCCTCAGTGAAATACAGTAATCCATTTTTTTTATACGTTCTCTGGCAAGACTTGCTTTACTCCACAGAAGCATATAAGTATAGTCCATATTCAGCAAAGCTTGTAGGGTTGCTGGGACCTGGCAGATTCATCACAAAAGAATCCCTTTGAATTTGTGATGCTTTACAAACAAGGCTCTTTGGGTAGATGTGATACCTATCTTTCATTAGACCAACTACATAAGCTTTACAGGTGCTGCAGGAGAGAGTACAGCAATGGAAAGACAAGTTGCTTAGAGAACGG